GAAAGTGACGCAGTGTGCTTAGAAGCTGTTCACTCACACCATTTTACAATTTTTCAGTCGTGTACTAAGCAGGATTTCGGTTTTATTGGTAAAGGAGAGTTAATTAAAAAATGTAATAGTTGAGGTATTACTCGAAAAATGCCAGCAACTTAGCTATTATTCAATCTCGCAATTTCCCCCACACATATTTTGTCCCAGACGACTTCAGGAATATACCTACTCTTTCCAGTCATCTAACAATGCTAAATGAGTTCACACTAAGAGTGCTTCACCATGTGCAGCACGCGGTACGCAATGGGTTAAAAGGGGCGCGGCCGTGAGAGCGGCGAGGTTCTAAACCGAAGAGAGGCAGGATCATAAAAAGAGGAGAGCTGGCACGAGAAAACGCGGCCGACGTCAATGTGCCCCTTTCATTTGGAGCAGGTGATTCACTTTGCAACTGCGACTCAGAAGACGCTCAGTAAGCGGTGTTGTCTGCTAGGTTGCGGATCACATTGATCTGAGACCACGCTCATACGTTGAAATGGGGGAGAAGAGGAAATTTTACGTTTTATAAGAGTGCGGGCTAAATAAGTTTTGGTTGCCAGCAACCTACCTGTGAAGTCCGCCAACTTACCAAGGAACTTTGAATGGAGACCTGGGTAGATCGATAGAGTCTGTAAGGTTATTTACATATATAGATAGCAAAACTGCAACCTGCATTTCACAAGAAACTCTGAACAGGTAAATTCGTAGTTGCAGTATAGTGGAGGCTTGGTGGTGAGAAGGATAATCGAGGAATCGCATATCGAATCGAATCGAGTCGTGGTGGTTCAGTGGTAAGGTTCGACGACTCGATTCGACGTATGCGATTCCTCGCTTATTCACAGCTCACCACCAAGCCTCCACCCTACTGCACCATTACAAACTTTACCTGCTCATAAGTTGCTTGTGAAATGCAGGTTGCAGTTTTGCTATCTATATTTGTAAATAACCTTATAGACTCTATCGATCTACCCAGGTCTCCATTCAAAGTTCCATGGTAATTTGGCGAACTTCCCTGTTTAGGAAAACAATATAATTGTCTAATCAGCGACCGAAACATGATGCAATTATGCATCTGAAGAGTCCCCAATTTTGAAGCTATTCCCAATTTTCTAGTGGTTCTACTCACCTACAACCGAGATGCTGTACTAGCCGCTTCACTGGAACGACTTCATCGGATTCCCTATCTGAATAAGGTTGATCGTCATTTGGAACAATGTTGATCGAGAGCCTCTTGGAGCATGGCCACGTCTACATGTACCGGTGGAGTGAGTTTTATTACCCGCCGAATGACGTTTTATTGCAGTTTTTGGCACAGTTTTGCTTGGTGGGGGCCCGAATAATGGATAGCCGAGTTTTTACAGGACATCTTTTTGGTCACAAGAATTCACAGCCTGATGACATTTGAATTGCTGTGACTAAAGTGGCTCGCTCTCACCATTTCGCAGCTTCACAGGAGCTTACAGGTCTCGCCAGTGCGAGTCATGTCATTGAACATGTTCTAACAAAGGGAACTAGCGGAAGGTGCAAAATGCCCTTCCAAGCAAACGGCGCCCGCTTTCTTATAGTGAGAACTGGGAGAGCACAGATGCAAGTGTCTCAAAGGTTCTTCATGGGACTATAAAATGAAGTCGTTGTGGTTTGTTGTCCCATCCTGAATAATCGATTATTCAGGCGTTTTTGAATAGTGTACAGCTTTTGGTCAACAAAGCGTAACGACTTCATTTTATGGCCCCATGAAAACCATAGGTTTAGAGGAGCATTTTGAAGTTTTCTGGGCAATAGATATTTCTGGTGAGAGGATTCGCCTCTACATCTCTTCCTATTCCTTATAGCCATACTTCTAGTGCCAACACTTTTATTTATACTTTGGTCTCTTGTTAGGCAGTTTCACAATGCAGGCTGCCAGAGTCGTGTACTCAGACTTTAGCTCTGCAAATAACTCGTGGCGCTCACAGTCTGCACATTGAGTCTAAACCTTGAACAAGGAACAGGAAGAGATGCAGAGGCGCTGTGGAGTGCTCCCTACCCTCCCCCCACAAGAGCATTGAGGCGTTTTCTGAGTTGTTCCTAAGTCTGCGGACGGGAAGTCGAAGGGGAAGCGCGGTCGGCAGCAGGACACCGCCTCCATAGTTTTTGTTCGTCTGCGTCCTCCCGTCTAGATACTGTTCGCCCTCCCAAAATGTTGGGCTTCAGGAAACGTAAACGAAGAAAAAATAGGCGCAGCCTAGTTTCACGTTTAGCCGCCCCTCCCTACGTTACCACCTCAAACTTGTACGGATTTCCCTCGTTTTAAAGTATCACATGAACTCTTTGCTAGTAACTATCCTCAGAAATGCCATTGCCCATTGCTAGAAATGACTATTCCACTTTTTCAGCAGTTATTTCTGGCAATGAGTAAATTTCAGGTTCATAAAAGTCTCGAAGAACAGCCTGAACAATCGCTTTGTACCTTGGGATCGCATACGAACTGAAGCGATTTTATCTCTGGATGATGATATCGATTTGAAGCAACATGAAATCATCTTTGCCTTTAGGTGAGCCTTCTTCAGAGGTTGATCCTGTCCCAGAAGCTGGTTATAACGCTCAAAAACAAAAAAAGGCCACTGATTAGTTACCAGCAATGAAGGGAATCAATTGTGTAGAGCCTCAATAGCGCATTTTTGCCGTTTCACCAGCACACTTGCGCTATTCACCTCCCTAGTTGCCTGCATCACTGAACTACTATAGAACTACTTCTGATAGCCAATTGTAGGTGGCGACCTGCTCCCCCTCCCGGTCGAAAACAGTTTTTTTTTGGGAAAACTGAAAAGGTTTTCGGTTCGATGCTATGCCTAACAGTGGCGGAGCTGGCCCCGCCCTCTCGGCCAACCTGGATTGCACGCAAGAGCGCGGTTGTACAATCCGTGATCGAGTGGGCGGAAAAAACTGCTGTAAGCGGCCACAATGTACTCTTAATGCTTTGCGGAACGTTACTTTGTTTTAATTACTAATTTAATTTTTGACATCAAGAAGGTGCTAAAGGAATGAAAGTCGGAGCAGTTCCGGCGACGGGGGGCATTTTGTACTATCATTGCTTCCTTAGTTCCGGTTTACAAGTCTCACTCTGGCGAAACCTGTGAACTCTTGTGAAGCTGGAGCAAGGTCGTCAAGCCATCATGTTAAAACCTGTCAACTCGAGAAGAGGCTGTAGATAGGTCGACACGTCGATGGGAAGTAGCAAAAGTGCAAAAGTGCCCCCTCCCCGTCGCCGAACTGCGCCATGAAAGTCATAAAGAAATGGCATAGCGTATGTACTAATATGAAATATCGTTATTCAAGGGTATGGAGGGAGAATCGTCATCGTATCGTGGGATTTCCAGCTCGATATCATGCTCGCTATGGTGATGAGATGTACTACAACAGTAATCATACCTGTCAATTAAGTATAATATTGACTGGAGCTGCATTTTTGCACAAGGTGGGTGGTTCGGTGTACAGAACTATTTTGTAATTATTTGCGGTTTCAGTCCCAATTGAAGTGATCTCACGGTGGCTTTCGTGAGTATTGTACCCAATACTAATCTGACTTGCATAGAATTCTAACCAGTATTTGGGTGCATAGCAAAAATAGGACAGGGCACATCATCGCTGAGAATTGTCCAACAGGGGGGGTCGTATTTGGTAAGGGATTTTTTGATAGTTGATTTTTTTCATGGACGCAACAAGGGGAGGAGGGAGGGGTTACATTCGTTCGTTGGTGGTAGAAGGAGGTGGGGGGGGGGTCGTATTTGCCTTCTGAGAAAAACTTCTCGGAAAAAGTTCTCCCGTTCTGTTGACTTTTCGCTTTTTTCCTGTTTCACATGTGCCATATACCCCTATATACCCCCCCCCACTTGACAGCGAAATTCTAGGAGAATAGGGAAGTTTCTGGGAAATTCCGGAAAAAAAACTGAAAGGGAGTAGGAAGTCGGGAAAATCAACGAAAGTGGTAGGTAGGATAGGGGAAAATGGCCGTATTTTTCTCGCGGTTCCTCCCACCTCCGCACGCTCAACAGTTCGATCGTATCAGAGGAGGGAACCAGGGAGGGTCGTATTAACTCACCACTTAAGGGGGGGGGTCGTACAGACTCGACAAAAATCCCCAACTAATGATGTGCCTCTGAAATAGAAGCAATATTTGGACAAGGCACACCATCGCATTGTGGAAACTTTTTGCAAAATACCCCCCCCCGCAGAATACGACTCCCCATTGTCTTCTCTGTCAGCGCTCTCCTACCCTACCTATTATCAGCCCAACTTCACATCAAAATTTCGGTTCGGCAGGAAGGGATAACCTCATCCGGTCAACTACCAGGAATAGTTTTTGAGGTGCAATCAGCTAAAGGAGAGTATATAGCGCGCGGAGTTCGGAAAAAATTAGCTACAAGGAAGATTCCCCTCGTAAAACAGGATCCGTGTTCTCCAGTGGGCAAGTACGACCGCCGCTGTTGCTTAGCCACCTTTGTTATGCTTCACATTCTGAACAAAGCCGCGAAATCGACAGTGATCAACAGGTAGCAAGCGCGCGCGGTCGCGGAACGGTCAACATGATCGTGGCTTTTGTCATGCCCCTGTGGTTGCATGTTAGAAAAATAGCGGTGTTTCTATAAGTGGAAATTAACTTCGCACTCCACACACAAGTTATTCCACGATATGCCAGTGGGTGGGGCCCTTTTCTTTCAAGGACGAGACGAGGAGGCGAGAATTTTATATTGTAGTCTCACCATAAGAAGTCGTGTAGTGACTGAAAGTTAACGCGACCACGAATCTCGGACAGGTAGAGCATCGTTGTGTGAAACACATAAGGTGGTCGTACTTGGCCGCTGTGAGGGGGAGGTCATGTTTGGGACAAGGGATCGTATGTGTTCGGGATAAATTTGTCGCGTTTCGAAAAAAATTTCGGTTTCTGACTTTTCTCCTGTTTTATGTGTACTATATACCCCTCCCCCCGCTCGAGAGCATCTCGGGACATCCCGGAAAAAGTGGTAGGAATGTTGGGAAAATCTAGGAAATTTTTGCGGTTATCCCGTTTCACATGTGCTATTTACCCTCCCCACCCCCCTCCCCGCTGTGCTCGACAGAAATTTCGTGTGTGGAAAAACAAGGAAAACTGCAGAAGCTGGGAAGAAGTAAAGTGGTAGGGCAGGTTGTTGGGGGGGTTGGTCGTACCGAGACCCTCTTTCAGGTGGGGCGTCGTCGTACCGAAAGACGGGGTCGTACTGACACCACCATTTCACACATTACGATGTGTACCCTGATCTAGGATAGACCCCAGCCCTAGCCAACCGACGCTTACATCTCCCTGGGTTGTTTGGCTGGTATCGCTTTCGTTCGGGAGAATGAAAGCACTGGACTTTTACTGCTCTTCTCCACCCCCCCCCCTCATCTCCGTCAGAACACATTGGAGGTGCATATAGCATTTGAAACGAATATTCAGACAGTAGCATGTGCAGCGCATAGCAAAAGCGATTGAGTAACGCTACAAATTTATCTGGTTTCCTTTTTATTCGCGCTGAAATTGAGAATAATGGGAACCCTCATGGGTTGCAGTCGATGATTTTGCAAGCTGCGGTGACAGAAAAATGAAACGACGAGCTGTTCATTTCCGCTATGGCTCATTAAAATTATGCTTCTCATCATCTCCATCGGCATCATCCCTCCGTCATTATATCATCGCTTCAGCGCATTGATTGGGCCGTTCATCGTCCGTAAACTGGGTGGTCGTGGTGATGGCGTCTCGTGGTCGCACTAGGCGGCAGCACGACATGAATACTAAATTGGTGCTTTGTCAGACGTGAGTGTGTATGCGGCGGCGCTGGCGGCTGTTGCTGACAACGGACAATGGATTACCTTTGTTAGATGGAACGAGTAAAGTCGGACAAATCATCATGCGCTACACGCATTGGAACGAATTCCAAATGTGCTGTCAATATCCGTGGAATTAGAGCGAAGAGCTGTTGGTTACTAATGGATGATGGATTGGCTTATAGTGAACCAGCAGACTGATGATCCAGGAAATAGTTAGGTCGTAACTGCGGATTTTCTGGTGCTTGTGGTAGCAGTCCTGAAAAAGTGGTACTTTCCGCTGACGAAAAGGTTCACCATTTGCAATTGATACCGGAGCAGTTCGGCAACGGGGGGGGGGCATTTTGCTTCCCATCGATGTGTCGACCCATCTAGATAGCCTTTTCTTGAGTTGACACGTTTTACCATGGTGGCTAGACGAGCTTGCTCCAGCTTCACAAGAGTTCACAAGTTTCACCAGAGTGAGACTTGTAAACCGGAAGTAGTGAAGCAGTGAAAGTGCACAATAGGTCCTAGATAGGAGAAGATGACGACTGTTAATAAGAACAGCGGACCCCGCGACGGAGCAGGATTAACGCTAATGAGATGATAAGTGCTATACCATGTTTTCCAAGAGTAATTTGACTCCTTGAACTCGAATATGGCGTTCGCTTGGCGCGAAATGCCTGACTTCCGCGATGTAGACGTGTTTTAGCGACGGCTCGAAAAGCGTAGGCGTTGTGCGCTGGGGTTTTGGTGCTAAGCAGGCAAGATATCCGAGTTAGGGTCTCAAAATGCCTCGAAAGCTCACTTCATTAGAAAGCCAGCCAACACTCGAAAAAAGGGGGGGTTAGAGCGCCATGAACTCAACCCCCTTGCAGAATTTCGGAGGCAGTGACTGGGAGGATGACGGTGAACGAGCTGGTTTAGATGGATGTTCTCGTCGTTCACTGATTGGAAGCATACCTGTAAACTGGTTTTGAGCAAGTTGAATAAGAGTTCGCTCAGGGCGAAAATTGTTTTTCATGGATATGGACTTTACCTCCACGATATACAAGGGGGGGGGGGGGCAAAAAAAGTCACTTCGACCGAGTCACATATCAGCAAAGTTTTCGCTGCCCAGACAGAGGACGTGGATACGAGTACCAGGGCGGAAGATACCCAAGATGTTCCTCGATAAGCAGGAGCTGGCTCTCGCCCATCACCTTCATGTACACCAAAATATGAAGCCATCAGCCAAGTAGCAGCCGGACTGGTGAAGGCCTATGGAATTCACGTCACCTCCAAACAGCTGCGAAACTCCCTGTATGGAGTCACCTATGGACAGCTCCTGGAGACCGGCATTCTTGATCTGAAACCTCCAACATCGACAGCTCCACAACGTCGCTACGAGTTAAGGATATTCACGACTGGATTGCAAGCGCAGGTGATGTATGACCGGAAGTTCTGATATGTGAGACCGATATTTTCTCTGAACCCGGCTTAGTAATGCTGATGATTGCAATGACCAAACTCGAGGGAGAATACCCTGCTTATTAGATCGCACTTACTTTATCTCGAAACTTCATACTGCTACGATTGGGTGCCACCACATGGAATCAAAGGACGTTGGAAAAACTTTCGCCTACTCGGAATGGAAGTGCGTCAAGTACCTGAAAAACGAGTATCTAAGTGTGTCACCTGACCTGAAACCCCCCCCCCTCCGACTATTGGGTCAACGGAGCTCAACAGGCGGTCTAACAGGGCGGAGAAATAGCGATCTCGTTGAACTCAAGCAGTTGCGTGCAGAGCTCTCGATGGTCTCGTCAAAAGAGCTGTGCGGATAAGATATAAGTGTACGATGCTGTTGTAGAAAGATGTGGAAATGTCCAATCAGATATTTATTAAGTGTAGCCATATCGTAATTGAAAATCGGAGGAAAAGTGTACTTTTTTGGCCACCTGTTATATCCAAATCCTCGACAGTGAAGTAAAGGGAAGGGGAAATAGTGGTAAAGTGGAGGAAGGAAAGTAAGCATGGTTGTTTCATTAGCATTGCTGAACTATAGGTGTCGGTTAAGCAATTACGGGAGCATCTCATGACGTCACTAAGGCCACAAATCGATTCCTATTTTGTCCGCTACAGTCAATCAAACTGCAATCTGAAGACATCTCTTGACATGTGTGGAGTTTCCTTGGAGATTCCCTTCTCAAGTGGTCCGACTTTAACTTGTTCGTTTCAATACGCCACTAAGGCGACCTCGCTAGAATGACGAGGCATTGCGTGTGTTCTTCTGGAGCTGTACCCGTGTGTCGAAATTGATTTTGTTCCAACACGCTTTAGCAGTAATGGTAGTTTTTTGGGTGTTGTTGAGTGTTGAACCGTGACCGATGGGACACAAGGGTAATTATCTCTGCACGCAACGACAGCCGACAAAAAAGAGGACGCAATTTTTATTTTGTCTGTCAGAAATGGATGGATGACGAGAAAGGCTCAGTTGCTGGCAGTACTTACTCCTTTTTTGAGTCATCTTGTGGGAAGCTGAACATTTGAAAAGGGAGGCAAGTGGAAGAGACTATGATGAAAATGAAAAGTGACAAAAATGAAAAGAAAACTGAAAATGACAAAAAGAAGTTTGGACGCAGTTCATTGGGGGGGGGGGGCTTTGCACTTTCACTACTCTTCAACGTGGCGAGCCATCAAAAGGAGACCTGTAAAATCGTGTAAAGCCACGGAACGATGCCAGTCAAGGTTTGTAAACGTAACCTGTCGATTTTTGTAAAGAGTACTTGTGAACTCTTGTGAAGCAGAGAAATACTATTTGAATAGCATTTACCATAGCGACTAGCTTGCTCCAGCTCCACAAGAGTTCACAGGCTATATACCAGAGTGAGACTTGTCAGCGCAAATATGCTGCCTCCCCCTCGATTTCGATGAGTTGCAAGAGCTCTTTTTTGCTGAGAATCCTAGCGGCTTTAGCATGCAGAGAAAGCATATGGCACGATGTCCTCCGGCGCAAATTCGTGCTCAAAGAATTTTTTTTTCCTTTCCACTAAGAGACATTACTTTGATTATAGTAGCGAAAAAAACTTCGAACAAGGCAAAATCGTTTTTTCATCACGTTTTTTTAATATATTCAATGAGGCCAGCAACGGATTAAGTATGAAGCAGATATTTTTTTTGGAAAATGATTTGTAGAAGCTCAAGTGTTGTGCATCAATCTAGTAGAATGCGGCGTTGTTCGGCTTGAGAGGGGGGGGGGGTGTCCCATCTTGTAACGTTTCACTGTTCTTTTGCGAGTTCATGTTAACAACCTGTAACTAACTAGTGAACGAATGAGCCAAATTCCTTACGAAAAGTTACAGGTTTCAACAGGGTGACCTGGAGATTTAGTGCAAACCGTGTGGTGTCCCCACAAGCCGGCGGGCACCGAAAATCCTGTAAAACCTTTGCAAACGTTTCCGATCCATGTGTGGTGGAGATGCGACCCATCCTCTTCTTCCAATCAAAGTCGTACTAGCTTTTGATTGCGATTTTGTTTAAGTAACCGACGGGGACCCCGCCGATGTACCGACTGCTCTCCTGCTGTCAGGAGAAGTGATACAAATTCATTCCAGTCACGAACGCGGTGCTATGCTAGGTTGGTCCAAGCCCGCACACGGTAAGCGGGTGGGTCTAGGAACAGGGCACGCCATCGTTGTGATCATCACACCAAGGGGGTCGTGTTTGGACCGCGAGGGAGGAGGTCGTATTTGGCCAGAGAAATTTTTTGATAAGTTTTGATTTTTGCTTGTTTCACGACGAGCTGTAAGGGGGTTGTACTTCGTCATTTTGAAGAGGCGGTCGTATTTCGTCACTTAGGGACGCACAACCTATTCGCGACAGCTCCGCGAAAATGATATTCTGAAAACAGACCTCCCGCCCCCCCCCCCCCCCCCCCCCCCCGCTCGACGGCTCGGTTCGATGAGGAAGGACAGAGGGCTGGGAGGGGGTCGTACCAACTCCCAAAAAGGGGGTCGTATTTTAGTATGGAATTAGGGGGGGTCGTAATTTTCAGGAAATGATCACAACGCGATGGCGTGCCCTGGGTAGGAAGGTAGATTTCCCAAGGCTGGGCACGCTCACCCCCCCCCCCCCCGTCAAGACAACTTACCAGACCAGTGATGTGCCTCGCGGTAGGAAGCTGATCGGACCCGCTTATCTGTGTTCTTGGCTCTCAAAGGGACCAGTCTATGCTGATCGTATAGGAGGGGACCATTGTGACCAGGGTGACACTGAGAAAAATTTTTACCGAATAAGAACTTCCCCCATCCCCACCCCCCCCCCCTCCCAGGTTTCCTTCTCCACTAGATCCACCTCCCACGACCAAACATCTTACCGGACTTTCCCAAAACATTGCCATCAAGGGGGGGGGTGGAGTGGGAGGGTCTAGAGACACTATTAATCCTTTCTCAGCTGAATTGTGGTTAATGATCTCCGCCCATATGACCAGCGTGGACTGTGCTTTTGAGGGATGGAACGTACGCCGGCGTAACGTATTGATTGCCTGGAACTTGGCGATACTTCGACTCATTGCTGAGATGGCCGATACCTGAGTTGGGGGAGGGGGTGAGGGGAGAGGGGAGGGTGAGGAGGATTGTTGGACAGCCCCGTGCCACCGGCCACAGGTTCTGCTCTCCACCCTTCTCGCGCTCACATTGCACAGATCGTTAAGAAACCCTCGTTTCTATTTTTTGGCCTTCCCCCTATCATCGCAATTTCACCATTTCTGATAGTTGATAGAAGGCTACTCTACGTTCTCGACCGTTCCTCTCATGTTTCCTATTCCATACTAACTCATATCGTACCTTTGGGATCTCCTGGGGGAGGGGGTAAAGGGTCGTATTTGATCGCTGGAGCATTTTGTTTTGATACACGTTTTTGGTGGTTGCCTTTTCTCTCCTCTCCCCCCCCCCACCTCTGCACCACGACGTCTATTTTTTGAGGAAAAAGGTGCCTGTTGAATAGGATATAGGGCAGGAGGGGTCTATTCTGCAAGAATTTCCCATAACGGCCGGACGTATTTTGCTCTATACGCCATGCGAAATTTGCAGCAGAAACGGTGAAAAACTTGGCGTTTAATAAAATGTTTAAGTCGTATCTACATGCATATACTAACGAGATGCCGGAAGCGATACGCCATCATGTGGATCAAGTGACAAACTGTGAAGATATAGCGATGAATTTCCTCGTCTCACACCTCACTCGAGAACCGCCAATAAAAACCACCAGTAAATGGACAATCAGGTGAGCCTTCTCTCCCGGTCCCTCTTTTCGACCCTCAGTAAATTAAAGTGGCTATAGTAGTCAATTTTCATCGCTCATTCCAATATTGATGCGTAGCTTTCCTGGACGCAATTCCCTTGCATTCGATCATCTCATGACATGCGAATGCGGCTGATGTTTTTGTTCATTTTGAGCCGTTTTCGGGCTAAGCCACTTAATGATTCATGAGCGCCAAGCCCAGTATTGGATGCTTTTTTTGGTTGGATGACAGATTTCGCATCAAAATGGGTTTGTTACGGTATCTGAATCAGCAGTAAGTAACAGTCTTTCAAAATTAATTCACAGAAGATAAGTGAGGTGCTCATTGTCGGGGGTAAGGATAGACTAGTGACAGCTGCCTTTGCTTTTCGTAAGGAACCAAGAAGAAAGCGATCTGGGAAACAGAAAAATTTCCGGCCGTACTCTGCCTTTATTGCCCCAATTTGCAAAGTTCAGATCGAAAAATCCATTTGTCCGGGAATCGTATCCCAAAGTTACCTCCTGAACATGAACATCACATCCGCTTGGCACGAAAATGCCTGACAACCGCGTCATTGGCGCTGGCGCTAAAATACCTCATGTCATCACCACATTGGGTGAAAACCTGTTTCCTGGAGTAGATCGGCCCCGTAAACATAAATATCACGCCCACATGAGTAGCAATGAGTTGAGGATGTAGGAAGTCACGCTACAGCGCGAGCGCGGCCTCCTACTCCTCTGCGCCTTTATCAGAGGTGCGCTGAGCCTTAGCAAAGGGAAGCACTGATTCGAGGCCGTTTCGGGCCGGGCAGTGCTCCAGTGAAGCCAACCACTTGACAAGAAAAGGCCTAGAACTCGCGCTGCATGCGCCGAAGTCCTCACAGACAAAGTCGCCGGAAAACCAGGCGGATTTGGTTTATACGGATGTTATGTTTGTGTTCATGGGGTCGAGCTACCCCTCGGGAGAGACGTTAAGCCAATTTGGGTGTTTGGGGTATTTCGTAAAGGGTGGGAAGGTACATGTCTCAGGCTAAGACAGTATGGAATACAGAAGGGTTTCCGAAGTTCGAACTTCTGGAGTTCCTTTGGAGTTGGGCTCCAGGTCATATGTGCAAATACAATAACAAAAGAGCAGTATCCAGCGGTATCCTAGCGATTCTCTAGACTTCGGTTGGGCGGTACAGGTTGATGTAAGGCGTTCAATTTAGCCGGTAGTTTTTAAATAGTTGACTCGGTTCACGAAACTGCAGCAATTTTGAATCAGGCAGGTCCTGATACGATCGCCGCGCAATTGGGGCCAGTTGTAACGACGCCTTAACCACGTCGCCGCAACGTGGATCTCCTAACCGTCACCTACTTTTCTTTCTGTTTTTTGGTCCGTCACTAGCCAGACATGTCACAATTTGTCGACTGAGGTGCAGCGAACACTTTGAGAGAGTGGGCACGATGGTTGGGGGCGGGCAGTTACTGCAGTTGTCATTGGTGGAAAGACTGTGAGAGCCCGTTTGACCACACCTTCTACTGATGACGTCGAGTAACGTCATCAGTAGAAGGTGTGGTCAAACGGGCTCTCACAGTCTTTCCACCAATGACAACTGCAGTAACTGCCCGCCCCCAACCATCGTGCCCACTCCCTCAAAGTGAACCGCCCGCTCCCAGCCATCGTGCGCACTGCTTCTGAAGGTACATAATCTCCAATGGATACTGATAAAAAGAGGAACTAGAGTACTTCATCGTAGGGACAACCCTTACTGTGGGCCGTATTCGGTTGGTGGAGGTCGCATATAACTTTGAAAAAATTCTTTGAGAAAATTTGCTCCGGCTGACTTCTCGCTGTTTTTCCCGTTTCTCGTGCGGTATACCTCCTTCCCATCCTAATTGCCGTTAACGCGGAACTACTTCGAAGCTATTCTTTCTGATACTTGAATCTGGTAGTTACTTGGTGACAGCCCCCCCCTCACCCGCTCGACCTCAGCTTTTAGGAAGAGCTGGAAAACAGAGAACTCGTGGGGATTTGGGAGGATTCGGGGAAACTGAAGGCAGGGAGATGAAAGGGGACCGTACTGTGAGGAAAATTCGAGGCGGACGTCGCCATGTCATCTATATCTTACCCATTCCCATGTTGTACAACAGCAGCGTCCCCAACAGAGATGCTGGGGCCATCTTGTGACCATTTCAAAGCCATATTTGACAGCCGAAATCGAGGGGGATTTCACCTGGTCACGTCATTTTGGCGCCATTCCGCCTTTCAGACATTACCTTCCCTCTCAGAAGAGTAGTGATGTTGAAACTCTGATGGCGAGGAGGTGGTTCTCGGTAAAAGCCAGCAATGTCATTGACGCAGCAGCGGATGCAACAACTAATCGTTTTTCGCTCTAGGTGTCCAACGTGCACGGAAACGCTGTCACAAGACGAATCGCATTTTCACGAACGACACGAATGTATACGACTTTTCACTAAAATCTATGGATACAATCCTTTGAAGTAAGTCGGTGGCACTTATCGATTTCTATTCGAGTTGTGCGGTCAGAGTTTCTCAAAAGGGGCGCTATTTGGCCTAGGGGGAGGAGGCTGGCTGTTAGCTTACACGTATCACATACGTGAGTTCTGTAAAGTCTTGCCAAGTTTAAACAAAGTTTGCGCTATTGTACAGCTAGAGTTCACAGGTCTCCACAGGAAACATCGGCAATGATCGATAGTATCCAGCGAAATGCCCCCACTAAGCAAATTGCGCCATCGAAAGGTTGCTTCTAGTTGATAAGCTAGTCAATACTCAGTTGAACTTTTTTTTGGTGACTCCGTCAGAGCGCTGATGACGTAGAAGCTTTTTCCGCTGAATAATGGGTGTCCTTGAATAAAAAAGCTCTTGAAGTTAATCTTCGGACGACTTCCTAGGCTAAATTTATAACATGTTTCCTAGGCAATCCTCTGGGGAATTACTTGCTGTGCCGTTTTTTTCCTCCAAAGAGAATTTGCTGAAATGGATGGCATCGGAGAATCACTCTTTGTATGCGCCATGGAGCTGACCTCCGTTATAAGTTGTGGTGCTACTTGAAGCAATAATTTATGGGGAGCAACCATTGTTCAGCGACTGACCCCGCGATTATATGTTGCGGGTAGTGGTGTTCAATAGCAGGCCTATAGTCTCTAAGTGATTCTTCAGGGAAGGAAAAAAATCATGGAGGGCACCCATAGTAAGGGGCTGGCAACTCACTGTACGAGTTGTTCGTGCCAGCTCACTTTATGCCAGTAAAGGGATCCTGCCACCTTCAGCTCATTAATCGTTTCTTCGCGTCATCCAGTGCCATTCAACATTGAACATTGAGAAAGAAAAACGAAAATTACGGCGGAAAGGTGAACTTTGTAACAGAAAATAGCCTCAAGTTTCAGTGGTTTAGAACTGCCTGGACAACTAAGGAGGCTTCAGAACTGCTACTATGAAGACCACAGCGCCTTATTCACTTCCTGTGGAGGTGGGAAAGTCTTAGAAACTGAGGACCAGACTGCTTGTTTAAAGGAGGACGCTTAAGAATTACTTGATCGCAGGGGCGGTCTCTGAATCGACAATCAGTTGGGAAGGTATCACTATGTCGGCAAGAGGCCACAGACGAGCAGGTTCACCCATGCAGCTGCGCATGCCCTCCTCCTCTATCCTAGCCCCAGCATGGTGTCATCATGCCATTTGTGAGGAGAATGAGAGAGAGAGAGCATTACTGGATGGAGTAGCGTTTGATAGCGCAGGTTGTTCAAATACTAGTCAACGCCTCTGACCACTTCGTCACATTTTCTTGAGAACGACTTCTCATTTTATTCCGAAAGGCTTCGTAATTTTGAGCGGTAGTGCGAGTGGGCTATTTGCGGGTCTATAGCGTTAGTTCCGAGTTGCAGCCAGCACGACGAAAGAGGCGTTGCGGCGTAGTGGTGTGCGCCGCTTTCGCGCAAGGACCCAATCCAGTCAACGTGGCATCGCCGCGGCATGTCGATTCTTTCTATGTCTAGATTTCACACTTCAACTAGCTAGGTGAGGGTTCGACGCTTCGCCTCGGAAGTAATGCTATACACCCGCTGTTTACGGCGCTGACATGTTTGGGTGTGGGTGGGGCGGGGGGGGGGGATCCAGCACCTCTCTGTCATTCCCCTAACCAAGGCTCAGGCTTAGAGCGCAGACGGGGTCGCCCAGTGATGCGCAGAAGACCGTAGTCTCCGGCAGGGTACAGCATCGTGATGTGTGAAATGGTAGTGTAGGAACGACCAACCCTTCCGAGAGAGGGTATCAGTGCGACCCCCTCCCTACCCAATTGATGGCCTCGGTACGACCTCTCCCCTTCCCCAACACCTACCTACAATATCCCACATTTTCCAGTTTTTCACCCGAAAATTTCCCGTTGGTGGGGAGGGGGGGGTATGTAGCCAATGTACCAATATGAAACAGGAAAATTTATTAAACATCCCCAACTTCCTACCTTGTTTTCCGGAATTTACCGAGACCGAGAGTTTTTCTACTTTTCTGCAAAAATTTTGCTGTTGAGCAGGGGGGGGGGGGTATATAGTACACATGAAACAGGCAAAATCACGCGAGATGATGACGACGACGAACGATCACGCGGAAAATCAACAACCGGGAAAAATTTTTTCCCAACGCAGCAAATTTCTCTCAAAGGCACATACGACCCCCTCTCTCTCCCAACGACCAAATACGACCCCCCTCCCCAGCGGGAAAGTACGACCCCCTACATGTTTCACACAACGATGCTGTACCCTGGTCTCCGGTGAGCCTAAACCTTGGTTGGGAAAGAGAAATAGGGGCTGCTGAGTGTCCATCTCCCAGAAAGAAGCCTCCCTATTCCCTTATTTTCCATACATTTTCCATAATCAATGGCCTTTTTTATGAGAAATCTATTTTATCTCCTTTCACATGTGCCCATCACGCCATACAGACGTCTAATTCTGATTCACGTTCACGTTGAAGGTTTTCCCAATTTCGTGCCGATTCGGTTCTATTCAAGACCCGTCTGCCACCGGACAAGCAGAAATGCTTCCGATTCGTTTGATTCGAATGTGATAGCTGACTGGCGGCAGCGACGGCTAGCCGTCGTTGTTTTTTGCTTTGAAAATATTCTGTGATTCTCTCTATAAATAGGCGGAATCTCCCAAGTTGCAAGACTTATTTTTTCTTAATTTTTGCTTTTTTTTGGTTGTTGCTTGCCCTCACACTCAAGCCTGTTTTGTATTGTATTATTTTGTATTTTAATTGTATTATCGCTAAAATTGCCGCTTTCTTGTAAGAGCGCCCGAAAAGTGCATTTTGCTTGGTTATCCCATAAGCTCTTTGACTGGTACTGTTTTGATTGTTTTTTTCTGAGTTCTAGGGTTCCCTGGGAAAGTCATAAGGTCATGGATCTTTCTCAAGAGACGGCTTTTTGCATGTTGTAGGAATACGTTTTTGCCGCAGGGTCCCAAGGGCACGTCGGAGAGCGAAATTTTCAGGGCTCTTTTACCCTGACCCCTCCCCCCCCCCCTTAAATCTTTATTTTCTCTGGGACCCAGTCCGCAAAGGTTATATTGTACTCAAGTTATAAATAGGCAATCTTTTTTGATTCTGACACCACTTTGCGCCGTTATCCACCAATTAGGCGCCTTGATTTTCTTCACAAAATCGGGCTGTTCGGCTTGGAGGGGGCATTCTGCCCTTTTACACTAGATCTGCTTGCGAACACATGTTAACTAACAGGTGAACATCTGCAAACTCTTGGGAAGCTGTGCAATGGTAGAAGTGCCAGGAATTTACAAGTCTTCACAAGGTGGCTTGCACAAGTGTTTCCTCGCGCAGTGTTTTGGTGCCCCACGAAGCCGAACGGGCCCAGAATTTGTACTGTACCACATGTGTTGTGCACTATTCATAGCTATCACTGATTATCATGTGCTGCGTCCTGCCGTAGGATATAATTTCAGTAAAATACGATCCCTCAAAACTTCCTCCTATGTTTCGACCCCCCCCCCCTGTTTCCCCTAATGAAAAGTGCGTAGAGGCGGGCTGGGAGGGTACATGAAGGAGCAGAAAAAAGTGAGGGAAGTTAGCAACCGGAAACCACTTTCTCGAACATTATACGACCCCCCCCCCTGGGAATCCAGCGTATGACGACGTCCCTCATTGTGGCTTTATTTATCATAGTATTGACAGTAATACCTGAAGATGCCTAAGAAGCGTCTTGCACACCTTTCCGACCTACTCAGGGGGTGATGTAACGTCGCTTTCATTTATTCATATAACATGCGAAAAGCCGTTGAGAAAGCTCCCCATTTTTTTGGGAATCTTCCCTGCCTCCTCCCCACCCTTGATTTATATTGTTCAACAGCTGTGACTCAAAATGTGGCATTTTTTGATATTTGACTGGTTGTATGTTTGTAAATTGCCAGTATTATGTTGTTGCTCATATTGAACCCCCTAAGTCTCTCATAATGTTCCCAGTTTTGCCGCAAAAATTTCGTTGTGTCGGGTCTCAGCTTGCTCCCCAGTGGTGCTTTAATCTTTTCATCTTCACAGATTGTCCATCTTCGTCGTTCGTTTGCTCAAAACTTATCGATAAAACGTTAGTGCGCCTCGCCGTATGTTGGCGATATGTGGTGTTGCCATGTGAATCAAGCTGCTCATTCATCAGCTCAGAGATCTCTGGAGAATGCGCTTGAATTTGTGTCGAAAACTTTCAGGCCTTTTTTGGGGAGGGGGAGAGGGGAATCGTGAGTGTATTGTACGTTGGGAATTCAGCGCAAGGATGGGGATCGTAATGGGGTGTAAGAGGAGGGGGGGGGGGGGGTTGGATATTCCCTGGTGGGAATTCCCCTCTCCCGGCTCCGCTCGACGAGTTTCAGGCAGAAGGGTGGTGCTTGGCTTGGTGGAAATGGGAAGGTGGTGTATGTATAGCACGTAAAACGAGAAAAATCTCAACAATCTCTCAAGGCCAAGTATGATCCCCTTCTCAGTGGCAAAATATGATCCTCCGATGGGATTCCCTCCACGATGACCTGGCCTGGAGGGGCTATGTGGCCACTGCTGACAGCTTTGCCCCTCAGAACACCACTCTGTGAACAACCTGTCCCTTGGTCCCTTGGCCTATCATCCTAAACGGATGAAGAGAGATGCAGCTCTCTTACTGCCATTCACCTTTGCCACTGAGAATGCCCAGTTATTCTGACCGGGCACGGAAGCAGAATGGGCTCCGATGAGAAGATAGGCGCAAGTCGGCTAGGGGGGAGACAGCATTTGAAAGACTCCTCTGTCATTTTGCCAGTTTGCCAACCTTGGCGGAGGGGGGGGGGCAAGAAGGAGCATCGGCTTGGATGATCCATTTAGGGACTTGGATACCACCATCATTCCCCTTCGAACATAGAATCTCTTCTTCTTGGCCGATTTGCCTCGATTTTTCTTCTGAGAACCGGTCCGTGAGGGGGGGTGGGGACGGGTCCCTCCTTATCTATATATACTTCCTCCAATGATCGATCGACCGATCCATTCGGCCCAGCAAGCCCAGGACACATCATGGAGATGAGGAGAGCTCATTTTGAAGGAACTGTATCTGGGAGAATGGATCATGCCACTCTCTCACTATCAGATACAACTGCTTCAACATGATAGTCTAACTTCAACTGCTTCTCTCCAAAGAAAATTCTCAAGGGGGGGGGCATCCTTCAGATTATTTCAAAATGATAACCCTCGTAAGAGCGACTCAAATAGAGCTCCTTGTTGAAAATTCTCGAGGAATCAAATACGTCCTTGGGGCCGGGACTGCTGGCGCGCCCACGAGTTTCTCTACAGGTACCCTGGGAGTCCGCTGGCCATGCTGTAGAACCCTTTGCTTCGCCGGTGAGTACTCTGATCCATGTTTTCATTCCCCCAAAGTCCTATATTTCTGGGCTACTTTCATTAGCGCTAGATGTGTATGCATGGAATAGTCCACGCAGGAATTCGGGGTTCACTCGAGATCCTGGTCAAATCTGTCTATCTGAAGTTGAGTCCCAACTAGGCTCAAAGGATAAGTGTGGAATGTCAAAGGGCATGGAACATGACGTAGTATAATGAGGTTTCATTTTGCCCTACGGGGGCTCTGCTCTTGCGCGTAGAAATGGTTGAACAGGTAGCCCTGTGGGTTCCCAGGGCCATTTTTCCGCATGACGTAGCAGGGTTTCCTAGTACCTTTGTGAGCTGCATGTTTGAAAGTATCTAACCAGTCTTTAGCTTCCTTCGAGATAATTCACGGGTCCCCACCGAAACCTCGAAAGGGCCCTCCTCCTCCTCCTTCTCCATCGAGGGCATGGGGTCCCCAGCTAACCTTGAAAGGCCCTCCGTCCCACTGTCTGCCATCGTTCTTCCTTCTTCCCCTTCCTTCTTTCGAAAGCCCAGTCGAATGACGCGATGAAAAAATGCCTCAGGGCTCTTGCAGCGAGAGAAGTTACGAAGTGCAGATGTTCCACAACCATCCAAGTATTGTTCTTCCTAGCGATATGGGATCTTACAGAGGGAGCGTTTGGTACATTACGACCCTTAAATTCCGAAGTGTCCATCCGCTCGGGCCGGTGGACACCGTGGCAAGTACTAATGCGTGCGACACGTCGAAAATCGAGCATGCACACCCACAAGGCAGCAGCGGCCGTATTGGATCGCGGCAGGAACATGCTATTGGATTAATGCATTCCAATTCCCGACGAAGGGTGCCTCGTCCGCTCCTTTCCTTTCCTCCTTCTCCTTCCCCCTTCCACCATCACCGTTTCCACACTGATTCCTGGGAGTTCAATGGCAGGAATTATGTCGTACCTGAGGAGGGTGATCGGTTAGGTGAGTCTCTTTGCAGAGCTTAGAATCGTCTGTGAGGGTGGGCACTTGGGCTGATTCTCGACGATGACGGAGTAGGCGTGGCTGACTCTCGTCATACGCGCTGTGAGCTTCCAAAGGCGGCTCGCCACCTCTGTAGCAGCAGTCGCCTCGAGCTCATCTCGTCAAATGTCGCGCCGCCGGCACTGAATCTCACCTTTTTGGTTACCTATTCGTCTATATGTAGCCATGGGATTCAGCCTTCAGGTTGTTATTAGTAATTCTTTTCGGGGCCGATTATAGACATATTTCTCATGGGTTTGGATGAGAGAGGATTTCAGGGGCCTGCTGGCTTAGTCCTGGGATATTAAATCAAAATGTAATAAGCAAATGGAGTTGTGACCGTTCTAAATCAACCAACCTGGTAGATCTTAGGAAGATTTCGGTCGGTTAGCATTCGAAATCAATCGGTCTATTCCTTCACTATTGCCCACTCACTTGCTGCCTCGGTGCAGTTTCGCTGCGTACGCGATGCCTTGTTCGGCAGTTTAACTGCGTATCAGATGCGGCTGGCACACATCGATTCGCGGCGGCGCTCGTTATGGCCACAGAGAGCTCATCATTATGCACCCACGGCAAGATGAGGAGAGGCACACTGCAGAGCAGGCAGGCTGACTGGCCGGCTCGCCGTCGGTCCACCAGCCAACCAACCAACTTGAGATTCCTCGGCTATGGTTGTAGCTCCAGCTCCAATCTTTCTCAGTCCTCATGCATCAGATGGCTACCTATTCCTGTTTGGCAATCGACAAGGAGGAAGTGATGATGGTGATGGTCCTCATCTGCCCGTGAAGAGGTAATTGCGGTTCATCGCGCAGCCGGGTGGTGATGGCGCGTGAGGTCCGGGACGCGTAACCAGTTTGCGCAATGTCCGACACTCTGCGTCGCGCTCGAGTGCTGTATTACGTCGCGTCGCGCGCCCGATCCCCACCGTCATTTGCCACGGCCGCCATTGCTCAGCGACGACGACACCTCGCGCCTCGGCCACTAGTGCTATGTCGCTGCTGGCGCTTCTGGAGCAGAAGTCAGCCGTCATTTGAGAGTCTCTCGGCTCCTCATACTTTCCTAATTGTATCGATTTCACGCTCTCACAGAAGCTCAGTCGCTCATCGATCCAGGTGCACTCAAGCGCAGGCCGCTGCCGGCGCCATTGCGCTGATGACGACGAGGCAGCCTACGCTCGTGCGA